TGGGACTTAGGTGAGCCAACTCTGCAAAGCTGTTGGTCTCTCTGCTCCCCCTCGCAGCGAGTAAAAAGTACAACGTTGTCAGGTGTGGTTCTTTTCAGGTCATTCTATCTGTGGCAGTTAGATGACAACAGTGGTGGCTGAATAACGTAATTCTCGGCACCAACAACACCCTAGGTTAAGATGTTTACTCAATACAGTTGATACATTTTAATGACTAACTTAGCGACCTGTTAAGATGTTCTAAATACATTTATGCAATCTTTACAATATATTCATTGTATTAAGTTTCCATATCAGTTTATACTGTTATTGAATGCTGTTATTGTGCTGTACTAAAAGGAAAAGTGCTGAAGACAGGTGTGCATGGTGATAGTTTACATAACAGGATGATATGGACAGCACTGAATGGTACCGACTGTTACACTTGGAGATAGAGACAGGACACAGAACCGGCCTGAACTGGTTTCTTTGCCCAAATAAGGAGACCGATGGAAGATCAACAAAAGACAAAGAGAGAAAAACATCCGAACTGCATGGTCTTATCTGACTTGATTAACTACAGCATTTCCACATAGCTCCTATTGGTGGAGAATCCTTGTTTGAAGCAGTCTTTACCAATCAGTGCTCAGAAGTTACGAGAGAACCTTTGAGCACTGAGGAGTTCCTCAGTGCAGTTCTGAATGTAATCATTGTTTTGCACTCCTTGCTGCAAGTAAAACTTTTGAAATTTGAGATCTCGTATTTGATTCTTTATTTGATTTTTATTTGATTCTTTGTGTGTTAGGAAACTGGGATATGAACTAACAGCATATTTTACAGTCCTATCTAAAAGAAAAAGTTTCCTGACACTACCAAACAATTCGTTTTATATTGTGAATTGTTTCATTTTCCCAGATGGGTCATTAACTATATACTATATCTATATACTAATACTTATTGTACATGTTTGTTGGAATTTCCATATACAAATCAAATAAAAAAAAGCTTATTTACACAAACACACAGAGACATAAGTTTAGTTTCAGCACAAAGGCAAAAATCAATTACCTTCTTCTAGAAAGATGTCAACATGTAGACAACAGCACAGCTACCAGAGTTACAAACAAACAAAAAAAAAATATTAAAAGTATCGCTCATTACTGACGCTCCCAACCTGACTGGAGGTCCAAGGAGGAGACAGGAAGTCAAAGGTGAGCAGTGATTAAAAAGAGAGTGAAGCTAATGAAAAACAGCTGAATGTCATTAGGAAAGAGTCAGTAATTACAGGAGGGGAATAAAACAGCCACAGGTGGTGCTGTTGTCTGTCAAAAACAGGAAGATGGAAACTTTAATGTCACATAAAGGCATCAGTGGTAGCAGATATAAACAATTTTGAACAGGTAAAATAAATGTTATAGTGAACTAGTAGAGCCCTCTTCTCTACACTAAAGTCTTACTGAATGAAATGAGAAATAATAATAAAAACATCTTTAATTTATATTAAAGTAGTCCACATTGTGTAACATCTCTACATTTCCAGTTGTAACAGGAAATGTACAGTATACTTTTGACTGGTTTGTTGTTTCTACCAAATTAATATTTGCATCACAAATGGGCAGAATCGATAGTTGTCCTGTTACATATACACAATTACATTAGATTTTACCGTTCTGACTCCTGACTGATTTATTTATTTTAAGTTGAGAAGAAAAAGTCAGACCAGCATAGAGTGGTGTATTTTACACACATTATTGGCTGCTGCAGGCACGCAGAATGCAAAAATCATGCAAATTTTTCCCAGAGCAGAGTATTAGCTGCAGTGTTGCCTCCATTGTTCTGTATGATGGGGGCTTCTAGTAAAAGCAGGCGTCAGCCACCCACAGTGGTTAAACCCATATGAATCATACATCCCATGTCATTTGTTTTGAAACGTATTCCCAGCTCAGTGTACGGTAAATAGTTAACGCCTTGTGGCATTAAAGGAAATGCTTAACATCAGGTTCTAAAAGATTAAGATAAACCACTGAACGGTGAATCCTGGAACTGTTTAAGGCAGGGCCAGGAATGAATCCAACTTGGATTAAATATTTTGATTTTACCGCCCCAATAAATGTAGATTATTCAGGTTTGGGTTTTAGGTGCTTGTAATCACTTGTAATATGCTGATTTGGTTAGCACAGTGATACTGATGTAGGTGCAATGGGTCGAGTGCTGTTTAGGAGCACTCAGTGTTAATAACCAGTCTCAAATTAATAACACGATCAGTCTCATTGAAGTTATCTTTAATTATTATGTTATCCTACTAATATAGTAATATTGTATTACTTAAAGTATTACAAATATACTACAATCAATAGTATTCAATAACAATTAAATATCTGAAGGATTTTCTGGAGTTCTTGGCAAATTGGGTGGCTTCAATGAATAAAGTAACAACACAGACAAACAGTTTACAAAAATAATCAAATGTATTAATACAACAACTCATAAACAATGATCAAAACAACAAAACAAGGCATAAGTGTGTGTGTAGGTGTGTGTGTGTGTACTTGTGTGCGTGTGTACACGAGTGGTCGTGTAAGAGAGAAAAAGAGAGAGAGAGTTGTTGCCTCTTAGCTACCAAGCAAGCGACTGAGCCCTTGAGGCATGTTCACATACGCGACTGCGCAGTGGAATAAGAACTGCGAGGTAGAAGGAACGGCAACAGGAAACACGTGAGGCGTGTGTGCGCTCACGGAGGTGTGAATAGGTGTTGTGTACGCGCACCAAGATGCGCTCAGGTACAATGAAACAGTGCTTGTGATGTTATCAAAGTATATGGGGGAAGGGAGGCGTACCGCGTGGTCTACTCAAGACAAAATACTTTGTCGGAGTTTTCCTGATCCCAATACTTATAACGTTACAAGTTAACACTGAAATACTTACGGTGTACAAGAGTATAACACCGAGTAAGGAGGCTAGAAAAGAAGTGCATGCAACAGCCTAGCTATAAAAGCAGCACAGATTTTAGACAACACAATTCAATGTGCGCACTTAAACTGTCCCTAAGTTTAAATAGCACTTAACAATACTACAGATTAACTAACGTGCCCAAATGCCAGTCTTACTGTAGTGAACGTCTGCTCGTATTTAGAGGGTAGTGGAAAGTCCGCACTTCTTGGGTCCTTGCCAGAGTTGGGGACGTCCGTCTGGTTCCACTGTGTGCAGAGAGTCCTCTTGATTCCGAAAGTCCGCTTCGGGAGGAAAAGTCTCTGATTGTCGATGTGCCGGTTCACACGATTACTGTTAGAAGGAATCCTGTCACTTCTAAACTTTTCAATAACTGCTTTGGTCGCAGCGCTACGTTACTTGTGTAACTTAATTACCGGTTAACTCAGTTAAGAAAAAGATGCTACTAGTGCATTTATCACCATGGGCAATGGTGTCTACAAAAATGCGTGGGTTCTTATTCTTTTTAGACGAGCAGGTTTCTCTTTTCATCAGGGGTCCTACGGAGCGAAAGTCCTGAACAGAGAGACTGAAATTGGGGCTGACCCCCCAATTTAAAGGTTGCGGAGGTTACTG